ATGGTAATAGTTTAAAGAGCTGATGTCCCGGATGAGAGGAGTCTTTCAGTATGTTAGATATCTTCCTCTTACATCTGTTCTTATACAATTCTTCCAAAGAGAGGAGTGAACAGCCAATGATGTTTTGGGCCGTCTTAATCACCCTTTGAATTGCCTTTTTCTCTGCCACTGTGCAGCTCGTGAACCATACACAGAGACAGTAGGATAATATGCTCTCAATCGAACTCCGATAGAAGGTGGTTAACAAACTCTCAGTCAATTGTTGTTTTCTAAGAATCCTTAGGAAATACAACCGTTGTTGCGCCTTCCTGATTAACGCAGCGGTGTTTGCACTCCAAGTCAGGTCATTTGTTATGATGGTCCCAAGAAACTTACATTCAACCACCTGTTCCACACAAACTCCATCTATATACAGTGGCTGAATGTCTGCTCTTTTTTTCCTATAGTCCACTATAAATTTCTTGGTTTTTTTGGATGTTAAATATTGTCCCCAGAATGACTTTTCCAAGCTCTGTGAAGCCAACACAGGAATACCAAAAGCGCTGGCCCTTCCCACCAGTTGTGTAGTTTCATAGAGGCTGAGAAACTGGGGCCAACCCATTGCCCTCCTGAGTTGGAAGGACTCCCACCAGGTCAAGCATTCACCCAGCTCACATTGTGTCTGATTCATAGTTATCAACATGTCTGTATCTTTTAAAAGTGTGCTGCTTATATACTGCCCCATAACACTTAAAGCACTCTGGGTGTCTTACAACATAATTGTGCAAACAACACTTTGCCCCTGAGCAAGCTGGAAAATCATTTTACTGACCTTGGAAAGATGGATAGCTGAGTCAACCTGGAGTTGGCTACCTGAGACCATCTGGATCAAACTCGGGTCGCGAGCAGAGTCTTGACTGCAGTACTGCATTTGAATCACTGTGCCACGAAGCCATTTTAAGTGCTGCCCCCACCCCAGCTTAATAAACCAAGTGACAAGTATGAAAATCAGTAAGTCAGTGACAAGCATCAAAGTCCCTGTCTCCTCTGATCATTTAATATATTCCTTTTCTAGAAACCAAGCTAGGCCCAGAAGCATTTCGCTTTGATTCCGGCATCGAAGCTACCGCCACCCGACTGAGTGATCGCTATTACATTCTGCGCCCTGAAGTCGTCGAAAGTTACCTGTACTTGTGGAGGCTGACGCATGATCCCAAATACAGGCAGTGGGGCTGGGAAGCTGTGCAGGTACGGCGGGGTATATTCCTTTTCTAGAAACCAAGCTAGGCCCAGAAGCATTTCGCTTTGATTCCGGCATCGAAGCTACCGCCACCCGACTGAGTGATCGCTATTACATTCTGCGCCCTGAAGTCGTCGAAAGTTACCTGTACTTGTGGAGGCTGACGCATGATCCCAAATACAGGCAGTGGGGCTGGGAAGCTGTGCAGGTACGGCGGGGCGGGGAGTTTGGCCACCATGTGGGGTAGATCCTGCATAATAACTGAGTGGAAGAATGGTGTCATTTCCAAAGAAAATTAAAATATGGAAACAGCAGCTGTACTTGGCAATCCAAGCCAAGGTCAATTCCGAGAAAATGCCAACAGATAGAAAGGAATAGGTAGCAAATAAAGAGTTGCCAGAAGCTAGGAATGAAACACACACACACACACACACAGAGAGAGAGAGAGAGAGAGAGGCTCTTCTCTGAATGCTGCCTTTCCTTGTAAGGTCAGCCTCATGCCGCAATACTGGAATTATGCGTAAATTTGCTACATTTTGTAGTGCAAGGCAGCTCAGATTTACGGACCGGCGGAGGTTTTTCGCATGGCATGGGAACAGTGGTTTGCAGACTGGCAAGCTTCCATCTCTACTGACACCGGAGTAAATGAGTGAGAGTCACCCCAGCCCTTTGCGTTTTGTGACATGGAGGAACATTCCTGTGTTTCCAGATCTTGACACCTATTGAGCAGAATGGAATAGGGGAACTGGGCAGGTGTTATAATCCCAAATTCCAGAGCTGAAGCCAAATGTAAAACGAAGTGGATTTACATAATGCGATTAAGGCACATATTTCGGTTATTAAGTTTTGCTTTTTTTTTTCCTTGTGCAGAAATTGGCATTCTTGATCTAATTAATGTTACTGCCTGCCACAGATCAAAGGTAGACATTGGGGCATGCCCTGTGGGCGCATACCTTTCTCTTTCTCCCGTCCTTAACAGCAATTCTCACAGTTTGTCATCTCTTGTGACCACACCACACTTTGTTTCAGTGTAAAGTCATCTCTGACAATAAACATAAGAGCTGTGCTAATCTAATCTAGCATCCTCTTTCCCAAATATCTATTTGAAGGTTGACATCTTGTGTATTTAGCTTTAATCATCTTCAGGATGTTTCAAGAAGACATGTTTCCCCATGTCTGTTCTACGAAGGCTCTTACAGGAGCCGTGATGTTGACAGAAAGGGCTAACCGTCAGAACATCCCATCCCCTCAATTACTGTATGTTTCTGTGTATAGGACTATACTTTTGTCTAAACTCTTTAGACTAAAAATTGAGGGTCGTCTTATACACGGAAGTAAGCTGAGGAGAGAACAAAAACAGGTGGAGGGGAAAGCAGGGATCAAAGCGATCCTGCAGTGCTTTGATCCCTTTTCCCCTGCGCTGGCTAAATCCCACTTAGATTTCTTAATTTCGAATCAGAAAAGTGGAGGGTGTCTTATACACCCTTGCACTGGCTAAACCCCACTTAGATTTCTTAATTTTGAATCAGAAAAGTGGAGGGTGTCTTATACATGGGGGCGTCTTATACACGGGAAAAATACGGTAATTAAGGCTTGCCTATTTTCTCAGACATTCTTCCCCTGCAAAGCTGTATGAGTAAAGCACAACTGATCGTGATTAAAGGACATTTCGTCGGCTTCTTTTCTGCTCCTACTGGAAGAGATTTTCCTTGTCTTTTTCTCCCAAACCAGGCTCTTGAGAAAAACTGTCGTGTAGAAGGGGGTTTCTCTGGGATCCGGGATGTTTATTCCATCAACCCAGCTCATGACAACATGCAACAGAGCTTTTTCCTGGCTGAGACGTTAAAGTAAGTCCTGAGAGTTGTCAACATTTCCGAAGGGGAAGAGATTTTAGAGTGGATTATATTTTTATAAGGGATTTAGTGAGAAAGCCGGAGCCCCTGCAGTGCTGTCTGTACAAGCTTTTAGGACAGAGTCGCCGTTTCCCCATATCCACTGCAGAGTCTTGCAGTGCCCTTCGGAGGGGATTCAGGGGATTACCAGAGTTCTTTCTGAAGTTGATTATCCTATGGACTTTGTGGAATGGCATTACAGGCGGTGGCGGAGTGGAATGGCCTGTGTATCTTTCGAAACTGACAGAGTGGCCCGTTTGCTTCTGCCTGTTCCTTGGTTAGAAGAAAGCATGCCAAGGATATTCGCAGAACACCGTACTCCTGTTTGCAACGTGTCATTGACATGTTGCAGCAAACTGTGTTTTGATAGAAACTCATTCCCCAGTGGCGGTCTGCCCTGTGGCTGCCCACCTTCTACCTACTAAAAGATGCTGCCAAGCGTACCAACTCTATCCCAGGGACTTGGTTGCAGGCCAAATCCACCACCCCCACACACACTCACTTACCACCCCACTCCACCTTTTTCTCTTTCTACTGGGAAAAAATGCTTCATAATCACATGCAGCATCTTCCCACTTTGTACAATCAGCCACGGGATATTTTGCTCCTCCATGGGAAGAGGTGATGACATCAACAGGAGTTGTAGGTAAAGAAGCTTACACATACACTTGAAAGGGAGCTCAGAGCACCATGATCTTGCTTTGAGCATTCTCTATCTGTATATATCCTTAACTCCTTTATGTTTGCTGACTCACTGCTGGGTCAGACTTACATCAATAGCTGAGGATGGGACGGAACTATGATTTAATGTAAGGCCATTCCGGGGCGGTGGGGGGGAGCCCAACTATACAACTGAAATCAACCTAAGACAGTGCTTAGGTTCTGACCTTCCAGATGTGGCTAAACTCCAGTTCCCATCGTCCCACATTAGAGGTCAGCCATGATGAGAGTAGCAATTTGGCAACATTTAGAAGGTTGAAGATTCCCCTGCCATAAGCCAATATATATAAAAATGTTATCCAAAGAGGAGGAACAAGATCTTCCCATCAGTTGGATGTCTTTGTGGTAACAACAGGAATACTAAGATGCTGCCAGTCTTTGCTCATCTTTGCAGTAGGACAACCAGTTGTTCTGCTTGTGCGGGAAGACCTTAGACCAGGGGTGTCCAACCTTTCACCTTCCCTGGGCCACATTAGAAGATGAAAATTTGGTTTGAGGAATACTAAGATGCTGCCAGTCTTTGCTCGTCTTTGCAGTAGGAGAACCAGTTGTTCTGCTTGTGCGGGAAGCCCTTAGACAGATACAAACTCCAGCACTGCATCCAGCAAGCTTAAATTGTATCATGCGACTCATGTGATAAAGAATGATGGAGTGCAGAAATCCAGTGTGTGAGTGGTTTTAAAAAAAAGGAGATGGTGATAAAACAAATTCCGGAATTCATGCTGGATAACAAGCTTTATTAGGCCAACCAAAGAGGCACAAAAAGGTTTTGAGATCATTTATCTCTTTGACAGGGAGGATGCTATAAAGTGAAGGGGAAGGGAAAAGGAAGAACGGTTTATCTTAAGGAATTTGTGAGTTTAGAGAGGATGGAAATATCTACGAGTTTCCTGTGTGAATCTGAATTTTCTAAAACGGAGGGGTTACTGTATTTTTTCTGTGTATAATACGCCTCCATGTATAAGACGCCCCCCCCCCACTTTTCTAACTGAAAATTAAGAATTCTAAGCAGGACATAGCAAGTGGAGGGGGAAAGGGATCAAACAATCCTGCGGCTGCACGATCGCTTTGATTCCTTTCCCCCTCCACTTGCTATGCCTTTGCAGAGGCAAGGTATGGGCCGTCTTGTGCTCTCCTCAGCTTACTTCCATTTATAAGACGACCCTCAATTTTTAGGATTTAGGGAGTCCCTTGTGTAAGGGTCAGTTCTAAGGATAAAACAAAATAATGCCTTCCATTCTTCTTTCCTTGTTTTGCCAAAGTATAAATTACTAGAATTCTAGTGCTTAGTGCAGTAAATTGCACTAGAGTAGGCCCACTGAATCAATGGGGATTTCGTGTGTCAAATCCTCTGTAAGTTCCATTGATTCATATGAGCGTACTGTACTTTAGCTGTGACTCAGTTTTGTACAGTGGTGCCCCGCTTGACGATTACCCCATTTAACGATGAATCTGCTTTACGATGGGTTTTTTTGCTATTGCAATTGCAAAATGATGTTTCAATGGGGTTTTTCCATTTGACGATGATCGGTTCCCTGCTTCGGGAACCGATTTTTCACTTAACGACGATCAAAAGCAGCTGATGGTTGGGTTTCAAAATGGCTGCCCGCTGTGCTTTAGGATGGATTCCTCGCACTACAGGCACTGGAAAATGGCCGCCCTATGGAGGCTCTTCGCTGGACGCTGAGGTATTTCGCCCATTGGAGAGCATTGAGCAGTTTTCAATGCATTTCAATGGGTTTTTTCATTTCGCTTGATGAGGATTTCGCTTAACAGCGATTTGAATGGAACAAATTATCCTCGCCAAGCGAGGCGCCACTGTACTTGCAGTTAGAGTAGGCTCATTCTCAAAGTTACAGCTAGAAAAGTAACTTTTCTGTGGGGCACAGAATTTCTAGGTGCTTGTGATCTGCAGAACTCCTGTGTCTCTGTTTTGCAAAGGATTAGAGAGCACAAATTATTCCAGGGTGCATGCACAAGGTCTACAGCTCACTCACCATGCATCGTGACCTGTTCATCTCATCTGGACTTGGCTTCTTTTCTTCTCTCTTCTTCCCTGACTCCAGGTATCTCTATCTTCTCTTCTGTGAAGATGACGTACTGTCTCTTGAGGACTGGGTCTTCAACACGGAAGCTCACCCACTGCCCGTGAACCGCACCGGCTCCCTCCTGAAAGCAAACATGCAGTAGTGGGTCCTCTTGTTCCCTTTCAGCTTCTGTGGTGGGACATGGAGAGCAACGTGCTCTTTTTTTCCCTTCTCCTCCTTTCCAATAAAGGAGTATGTACGTTCCCAGAAAGGTATTCTGGGGGCCTTCGTCCAATTCCGGACCGTATTATATCAAGGAGTATAAAAACTGTGAAACAATTACCTTTGTGGTTTTCTTCTTCCTCCGTGAGGAAATGTATAACCCTGAAAATGAGATTTGATTGTGGGCCATAATACATACAAAATCACAGACGTTACTTTCTACAGAGAATTTCTATGGGACCCATTGACTTGGTTTTCACATGGCCAAAGGAACAGGAGCTTGCCATAAAACAGACATTGGTTTGTGCCACTTGTTTCCCCCCTCTTTTTTATATGCAGTTGATTTTTATTAGCTTTCTAATTTACACTCTCCCAAGATTACATGCATCCTGAAATGGTCTTGTCATAACTGATCAGCAAATCTCTGCAGAATTCTGAATGCCAAGCCGTTGTTTTCCTCTCTTTCTCTCTCTCTCTCTTTCCCTTTTGTTTTTTAATCCCTCCATGCTCTTAAAAGATGTTTACTGAATGTTGCATCACATGTATTTCTTTGCTTTCTACAGTTTGAAGCTTTTTCTGATCTTCTGTTTTCGTTTTAGTTTCTCTTCTCGTTTGGAGCTAGCTAGTACAAGGCACTTGACATGATTTCCTTTCTGTCATACTCAGAGATGTAAAATAGAATAAAAATTCCATCAGATAAGACGTGCAGTTGGATGGCTCAGATCTCTTCTTGTCGGTGTAAGAGGTTAAAAGAGAAGCGCGATTGATTGGCAGCTGATTGAAACCACGGCCCTCAGAAAGTCCTTTGACCTTTTTTGCTCCTGGAGAAATGGAAGGAACAAAAGTTACCTTTTGTTACTCTGGAATAACAGCAGACCTTAATGCAAGAAGAAAGAAAACTGATGTTGCTTGGACACAGTCCACGGGACCCATCACCTTCTTGAAGATGCAGCTTACGCCAGCAGTTGGCAACCTGTAGCTGCTGTGATTAGACTCCGACTTCCTTCTGCTTCTTCCAGCATGGCCAGACATGCAAGATGACACGTGGTTTGCAAATTATGAAGGCAATGGTCTGGCTACATCAGAAAGTAGAAGAAGCTGCACCTTCTTCTGTTGTCCTTTTCTTCCTGTGCAACTGTTTAAACACCGGATCATTGCCAGCCTTCTCTTCATGTTCTGTGTGCTTCAATACCTACAAGAGCAACGAGCAAATTCCAGAGTCTCAGGGGCAACATCCACCACCACCTGGGACTACGGAGAGCCACGCCCATACTTTACATCCTCCTCCCCAAAGGGACTGTTACAGGTCTAAATGAGGCATGAAGCCGAGACCCCAAATAACACCCGTTGCCCGTTAGAGTAGTGGTTCTCAACCTGGGGTTCCCCAATGTCCTTGGACTGCAACTTCCATAAATCCTGGCCACTGTCCTTCAACTGCAACTTCCCAATGTCCTTCGACTGCAACTTTCATAAATCCTGGCCAGCATAGCAAGTGGTGAAGGCTTCTGGGAACTGCAGTCCCAGAACATCTGGAGGGGGAACCTCAGGTTGAGAACCACTGCCTTAGAGCAGTGGTCCCCAACCTTGGGGCCTCCAGATGTTCTTGAGCTACAACTCCCAGAAGCCTTCACCACCACCTCTGCTGGCCAGGATTTCTGGGACTTGAAGTCCAAGAACATCTGGAGGTCCAAGGTTGGGGGCCACTGCCTTAGAGGATATGGTTGGTTGTTTTGATCCCACTGCCAAATCACTTCTTGGAAATTTAAGAAACAAGAGGTGAAAATTGTGAGTTAGCACCTTGTCAAAGGCAGCTCCTGCACAGTTCTTCCTCTACCCTCGCTGACTCCTGCAAATTTCTGGTTCTCTAGACCAGTGGTCTCCAACCTTGGGCCATCCAGATGTTCTTGAGCTACAACTCCCAGAAGCCTTCTCCACCACCTCTGCTGGCCAGGATTTCTGGGACTTGAAGTCCAAGAACATCTGGAGGTCCAAGGTTGGGGGCCACTGCCTTACTCCATGAAGGTGTCCTGAAACTCCTGCACAGTTCTTCCTCTACACTCGCTGACTCCTGCAAAATTCTGGTTCCCTAGACGGCTACAGTAGATTTACCCATGGAAACCCAATTTTCAAAAAGAGATCACCGCAGAGTCCAGCGTAATTTCCCTGCTGTGTAGGCAACACGCTGTGCCAGACATCAACTCCCATCACCCCAGCCAACACGGGGGTTTACTATTAGTTTTATACCCTGCCTTTCTTCTCCAAAACAGCACTAAAGGCAATTAAGAATAAAATCAAATAATACATAAAACAGATTGATGAATACGGATACACATTTTTTACAGCCCCTTCTGCAGCAGCTCACCTTAGTTGCCAAAAGCTTGCCGGAATGAAAATATCTTTGCCTGCCACAGAAAGCAGCAAGAAGCAACGACTTTTTGCCAGGAATGACTTCAGGGAAGACCGAAGACTGGCTTTCCTGTGTAGGGATTTCCACAGCGTGGAAGGGATGATGGGAATCGGAGTCCAAACCTATGGAAGACATCTAAGTTGGAAGGGTTGTGTTAGCGTGTATCTGAGGTTTGATCCTGCCAGGGTCTTTGTAAGGGAGTCCAATTCTTCCATCAGCCCCAGCCAGCTAAGCAAATTGCGAGGGAGGCTAAGAGCCTTTGTCCATCCATGTTGTGCGTGTTCCCACTTTATACTTAAATTTAAAACATCTTTACCCCTGTTCTGCAATGGAAAATATGGTTCTCTTGTTCTGTCACAGTGCCTCCTTCAAAATCCAAGAAACTTTGCCTTGGATCCATTTCCTTCTGTTTCATCAGATTTTTTTTTCTTAATTCCTTCTCCATGAAAGAGGGTGAAAGAAAAACACTTTCATGAAAGCTATTTTAAAAAAACAGACGGTTTCATTCGGAATCCACACCTTTTGGAAATCCTAGAGGGAAGAAAGATGGTCAGATGGGAACTCTTAATTCATCTTGAGAATAAGGGGAACGACCAATAATCTTCTCCTCGATGGATAGTTGTTAGTAACGAAAAAGCTTTGGGAATGAGTCATGCTATTGAGAGGTTTGATAGCAGGGAAATAAGCTTAGCCCAAAGTAATTTTGCAGTGGATTAAAATATGCTCACGGTGGAATCAAAAGCTTCCTTTTGACACAAATTGTAGTGTGTCATTTCAGCTCCAGGGGTTTTTTTCCTGCATAATTTTGATTGATTTTTGAAATATGATACAACATAATCTGTGGAAAATCAAGAGACTTGCCTGTTCCTTCCTTTCGCAATCCGAATTACACAACAGCCTGACAAAACAAGAAAACAGATTGAGAGAAACAAAGAAAAAGGTTGAAGGGAGATTATATTTATCCATTGAGGGGATTTCAGGGGGAAGTGTATTTCATTTAAAAAAAATCTTTTTGGAGCACAAATCCACTTTAATATCTATGTAGTGGTGTGTGTTTTTTTAATTATTGAAAAGTTAGTTTCTGGATGCTATCCCATAATCCAGAACCACTGGCCCTGTTGGTTAGTCGTAATTAATTCCGCCCCCCCAGATCATTGGTTAGAGAAAGCAAAGGCTTTTTAACAGCTGTAGTGCTGCTCAGAGGTTATGGAAGTCCAATCAAATTACTGTATAGTATTATAGAGATGAGACCATCGAGCCTACACAGATTGTAAAAGTTGGTGTCTTTGGCACTAGTTATGCTCAGTCAGTCAGTCCATTGATGCTTGTTCTGTCTCTACATTTCTTTCTTCAATGACACTGTGGTTAGGGGTGCCAGACCTCTGTGTAGTTCAAAATCTGTGTATAACTCTTATGCTCCCCAAAACATAACTACAAAGCATAAACAGTTGATTAACACACACACACACAGAGAAACATTCTCTGTGTTGGGGTTCTCTTCCGTAATGTTGACAATCCTTTCCATACTCTACCATATGTAAAAAAGGTAAAGGTTTCCCTTAACATTTTTAGTCCAGTTATGTCCAACTCTAGGGGGTGGTGCTAAAGCCGTAGAGGCAGCGCCTGTCCGAAGACAGTTTCCGTTGTCACGTGGCCAGCATGACTAGGGAACGCCATTTTACCTTCCCACCGAGGTGGTACCTATTGTATCTACTCACATTTTTACATGCTTTCAAAGTGCTAGGTTGGCAGGAGCTGGGACAAGCGACGGTAGCTCACTCCGTCACGTGGATTCGATCTTACGACTGCTGGTCTTCTGACCTTTGCAGCACAGAGCCTTCTGCGGTTTAGCCCGCAGCGCCACCACGTCTACCATATGTATGGAGCCTTAAAGGTCCTTATGAACCCCTGATCTGGAGGCCGATGTTGGGTTTGGGGGGGGAAATGAACCACTTTGATGCCTTCAGCATTGAACTCATCAGGTTGTGGGTGGCCAGGGTCACCATATTTATTTATTTATTGGGGAAAATCCATATATAACCAAAAACGTGCAGTTCAGGAGAGAGGTATATGTGTTCTGCTTTGTAAAGAGGTGAGACGTTGGCTTTGTTCAAAGATATTTGGCACACATTTCAGACACTTTAAAGAAAAAAAGATCTCCCTTTATTATCATGCTGGAACCGAGAAATCTTGTGGAGTCAACAGGATACCCATGTCATTCAGAACAAGTACATAATGTTGAGAGAATTCTTCATATCCTTAACTCATATGTACATGTTTGCTTTGTAGAAGACTCTCTCGCCTCTTTTGTGCCATGTTTACTTCAGAATTCAGTGAGTCGGCTTTATTCTTGCCAGCTCTACCCTGTTTTCCTCTGGAAAAATCCTGAGGTCCATCAACTGCTGCCAGGTGTGATGTGATGGCTCGGGAAGGTGAATGCAGGCATGCGAAACAGGATGCTCCTTCTGACCACATGCCCAGCCCAGGAATTTGGCTCCTGTAGCAGAAATATAAGGGTCAGACTGCACACCTCTCTTGTCTCCTCGAGCACAAAACCCTGTTGATCCGTCCAAACCTTGCTTATATATTTATGACCTTTTTAGCAATTTATATTAATAATACATATATTACAACGCCTTATATATTTCATATATGTTAAGCTATGCATGAGAATGTTACATCATAACAGGTAAGGTTACATCATTTCTCCTAAACTTTCTCAAAGTTCCTCTTGACGTATAGGCAGTGACAGATTTTACTCCATGATCATTGCAGATGGAGACAGCAGCCACGAAATTAAAAGACGCCTGCTTCTTGGGAGGAAAGCAATGACAAATCTTGACAGCATCTTAAAAAGCAGAGACATCACCTTGCCAACAAAAGTCCGCATAGTCAAAGCTATGGTTTTCCCTGTAGTGATGTATGGAAGTGAAAGTTGGAGCATAAAGAAAGCTGACCGCCGAAGAATTGATGCTTTTGAATTGTGGCGCTGGAGGAGGCTCTTGCGAGTCCCCTGGACTGCAAGGAGAACAAACCTCTCCATTCTGAAGGAAATCAACCCTAAGTGCTCACTGGAAGGACAGATCCTGAAGCTGAGGCTCCAGTACTTTGGCCATCTCATGAGAAGAGAAGACTCCTTGGAAAAGACCTTGATGTTAGGAAAGTGTGAAGGCAAGAGGAGAAGGGGATGACAGAGGATGAGATGGTAGGACAGGGTCATCGAAGCGACCAACATGAATTTGACCCAACTCTGGGAGGCAGTGGAAGACAGGAGGGCCTGGCATGCTCTGGTCCA